GGGGGGGGAGGGTGGCACCTGACCAGTTTGATTAAAGGCGAATATAACAGATATGTCTTGATAACTGTTGTCAGCAGATGATGGCACGTTACTCCTTACGTGATATAACAAAGAGGTGAGTTTCATTGCAATAAATAGATGAAGAAAAGAAAAAATAGTAATGATAATGATGATGATAATAAAAATAACAATAAAGATATTGATAATTAGGAAAAAAAAATGATGCGAATAGTGATAAAAACAATGATGACATTGATAATAGCAATAAAAGTAATGATAACAATGATAATAATGATGATGATAATTATAATATCAATAATAATGATAATAACATTAACAATAACAATAATAATAATATTAACAATAACGCAAAGGCTAATAATGATCATAATAAGAATGATGATCATAATGAAAATGTTCTTTATAATAATAATGATAATAATAATAATAATAATAATAATAATAAGAAGAAGAAGAAGAAGAAGAAGAAGAAGAAGAATGATAATATTGATGATTATAATAATCACTATAGCAATAACTATAACAACAACAAAATAATAATAGTCTACTTTCGATATCCTCAGTAGAGCGAAAATCCTAAAATTACATAATGACATTTTACGAACCTCTTTGGTAACAGGAAATCTGCGCCGGTACTGAATAAAAAAGTAGGAATTATAATCTAGTTGATATGCCCTTTTTTTTATAATATTCTCGCTTGAAGATTCACGGCTCGCGATCTCATTTGCATAATGCAATTTCTAATCAGTCAGAGGAAATTTTTTTCAAGTGACTGACTTTGACTTAGGAAGATTGACTTAGGAGATGGAAAGACGTGGGATTCTTCCTTACACATGTCGGATCAGGTTTTCTGTAGGATCTTAGGGGTCAAGAATAAAAAAGAAAGAGAGAGAGGAGAGAGGAGAAAGAGAGAGAGAGAGAGAGAGAGAGAGAGAGAGAGAGAGAGAGACAGACAGACAGAAAGACAGACAGAGAGAAATCAACATGTATTAACAAGCATTAAGGAAGGAGTTCTGATTAAGAACCACCAATGATTTATACGAATTCTATGAACTAAAAACTAAAAAAGGTGTATGAAGTATTTTTTCTGCGAATTCGAAGCTTTCTTTGCCTTAAAAACTTGAAGCACGCCACAATATTTTTTTTCTTTCTTTTTTCTTTTCTTTTTACTTTTTTTTCCTTTTGTGTGTTTGCTAGAAATTGATAATACAGTATGTTTAAAGGTACGTATGTATACACACACTCGCCTTCTTCCCGTTTTCTTTAGCCGACCCCCAACTCAAGTATAATATTTATGAATGTCTGAGTCAAGTCACGCGAGAGGAAGTAATAATGTTTTTTTCGGACTTTATTTTCATATAACGTGTGAGATACCATCATTTTTTATTTGTTTATTTGTTTTCGTTTGTCGATGTTTCGATTTGATCTCTTTACCAAGACTGAATATAAGATTAGGTACGTATATATGTCAACAAGATTTCGTTTGCTTGAAAATACATTTTATTTAACTCTTGGATATCATGATATAATAATGTGTT